CAGATGGTCGCACGCCCATGGAGCCTCCCTCATTGCTAGCACAGCAGTCTGAGATCTAACTGCAAGGTAGCAGTGAGGCTGGGGGAGGGGCGCCCACCATTGCTGAGGCTAGAGTAGATAAACAAACTCGCCAGTAAACTCCAATTGGGGGGAGCCCACCAGAGCTCAAGGAGGCCTGCCTGCCTCTGTAGACTCCACCTCTGGGGACAGGGCATAGCTAAACAAAAAGCAGCAGAAACCTCTGCAGATATAAATGTTCCTGTCTGAACAGCTTTGAAGAGAGCAGTGGTTCTCCCAGCACAGAGGTTGAGATCTGAGAACGGACAGACTGCCTGTAGAAGTGGGTCCCTGACCCCTGAGTAGCCTAACTGGAAGACATCCTCCACTAGGTGCACACCAACAACTCACACCTCACATGGCTGAGTACACCTCTGAGACGAAGCTTCCAGAGCAAGATTCAGACAGTAACACTCGCTGTTCAGTAATATGCTATCTTCTGCAGCTTCCGCTGATGATACCCAGGCAAACAGGGTCTGGAGTGGACCTCAAAAAACTCCAACAGAACCGCAGCTGTTGGTATCAATTAACCTTAAATGTAAATGGACTAAATGGTCCAATTAAAAGACACAGACTGAAAAATTGGATAAAGAGTCAAGACCCATCAGTTTGCTGTATTCAGGAGACCCATTACACATGCAGAGACACACATAGGCTCAAAATAAAGGGATGGAGGAAGATCTACCAAGCAAATGGAAAATAAAAAAAAAAGCAGCGGTTGCAATCCTAGTCTCTGATAAAACAGACTTTAAACCATCAAAGATCAAAAGAGACAAAGAAGGCCATTACATAATGTTAAAGGGATCAATTCATCAGGAAGAGCTAACTATTCTAAATATACATGCACCCATTACAGGAAAACCCAGATTCATAAAGCAAGTCCTTAGAGACGTACGAAGAGACTTCGACTCCCATAAAATAATAATGGGAGACTTTAACACACCACTGTCAACATTAGACAGATCAACGAGACAGAAAGTTAACAAGGATATCCAGGAATTGAATTCAACTCTGCACCAAGCAGACCTAATACACATCTACAGAACTCTCCAACCCAAATTAACAGAATATACGTTCTTTACAGCACCACATCTCACTTATTCCAAAATTGATGACATAGTTGGAAGTAAAGCACTCCTCAGAAAATGTACAAGAACAGAAATTATAACAAACTGTCTCTCAGACAACAGGGCAATCAACCTAGAACTCAAGACGAAGAAACTCAATCAAAACCACTCAACTACATGGAAATTGAACAACCTGCTCCTGAATGACAACTGGGTACATAATGAAATGAAGGCAGAAATAAAGATGTTCTTTGAAACCAATGAGAACAAAGACACAACGTACCAGAATCTCTGGGACACATTTAAAGCAGTGTGTAGAGGGAAATTTATAGCACTAAATGCCCACCACAGAAAGCAGGAAAGATCTGAAATCGACACCCTACCATCACAATGAAAAGAACTAGAGAAGCAACAGCAAACACATTCAAAAGCTAGCAGAAGGCAAGAAATAACTAAGATCAGAGCAGAACTGAAGGAGATAGAGACACAAAAAACCCTACAAAAAAATCTATGAATCCAGGAGCTGGTTTTCTGAAGAGATCAACAAAATTGATAGAATGCTAGCTAGCAAGACTAATAAAGAAGAAAAGAGAGAAGAACCAAATAGACGCAATAACACATGATAAAGGGGATATCACCACCGATCCCACAGAAATACAAACTACCATCAGAGAATACTATAAACACCTCTATGCAAATAAACTAGAAGATCTACAAGAAATGGGTCAATTCCTGGACACATACACCCTCCCAAGGCTAAACCAGGAAGAAGCTGAATCACTGAATAGACCAATAACAGGCTCTGAAATTGAGGCAACCATTAATAGGCTACCAACCAAAAAAAATCCAGGACCAGACGGATTCACAGCCAAATTCTACCAGAGATACAAGGAGGAGCTGGTACCATTCCTTCTAAAACTATTCCAATCAATAGAAAAAGAGAGAATCCTCCATAACTCATTTTATGAGGCCAGTATCATCGTGACACCAATGCCTGGCAGAGACACAACAAGAAAAGAGAATTTTGGACCAATAGCCCTGATGAACATCGATGCAAAAATCCTCCATAAAATACTGGCAAACCGAATCCAGCAGCACATCAAAAGGCTTAACCACCAAGATCAAGTTGGCTTCATCCCTGGGATGCAAGGCTGCTTCAACGTATGCAAATCAATAAACGTAATCCATCACATAAACAGAACCAAAGACAAAAAACACATGATTATCTCAACAGACGGAGAAAAGGCCTTCAACAAAATTCAACAGTCCTTCATGCTAAAAATTCTCAGTAAACTAGGTATTGATAGAACGTATCTCAAAATAATACGAGCTATTTATCACAAACCCACGGCCAGTATCATACCGAATGGGCAAAAACTGGAAGCATTCCCTTTCAACACCAGCACAAGACAGGGCTGCCCTCTCTCACCACTCCTATTCAACACAGTGTCTCCTATTGAACATATTGTTGGAAGTTCTGGCCAGGGCAATCAGGCAGGAGAAAGAAATAAAGGGTGTCAATTAGGAAAAAAGGATGTCAAAGTGTCCCTGTTTGCAGATGACATGACTGTATATACAGAAAGCCCCATCGTCTCGGCCCGAAATCTCCTTAAGCTGATAAACAACTTCAGCAAAGTCTCAGGATACAAAATCAATGTGCAAAAATCACAAGCATTCTTATACACCAATAAGAGACAAACAGAGAGCCAAATCATGAGTGAACTCCCATTCACAACTGCTTCAAAGAGAATAAAATACCTAGGCATCCAACTTACCAGGGATGTGAAGGACCTCTTCAAGGAGAACTACAAAGCACTGCTCAACAAAGTAAAAGAGGACACAACCAAATGGAAGAACATTCCATGCTCACGGATAGGAAGAATCAATATCGTGAAAATGGCCATACTGCCCAAGGTGATTTATAGATTCAGTGCCATCCCAGCAAGCTACCAATGACTTTCTTCACGGAATTGGGAAAAGCTACCTTAAAGTTCACATGGAACCAAAAAAGAGCGCGCATTGCGAAGACAATCCTAAGCAAAAAGAACAAAGCGGGAGGCATCATGCTACCTGACTTCAAACTACACTACAAGGCTACAGTAACCAAAACAGCATGGTACTGGTACCAAAACAGAGATATAGACCAATGGAACAGAACAGAGGCCTCAGGAAAAACACCACACATCTACAATCATCTCATCTTTGACAGACCTGACAAAAACAAGAAACGGGGAAAGGATTCCCTATTTAATAAATGGTGCCGGGAAAACTGGCTAGCCATATGTAGAAAGCTGAAACGGGATCCCTTCCTTATGCCTTATACAAAAATTAATTCAAGGTGGATTACAGACTTAAATGTTAGACCTAAAAGCATAAAAACCCTAGAAGAAAACCTAGCCAATATCATTCAGGACATAGGCATGGGCAAGGACTTCATGACTAAAACACCAAAAGCAATGGCAACAAAAGCCAAAATAGACAAACGGGGTCTAATTACACTAAAGAGTTTCTGCACAGCAAAGGAAACTACCACCAGAGTGAACAGGCAAGCTACAGAATGGGAGACAATTTTTGCAATCTACCCATCTGACAGAGGGCTAATATTCCAGAATCTACAAAGAACTTAAACAAATTTACAAGAAAAAATCAAACAACCCCATCAAAAAGTGGGCAAAGGATATGAACAGACACTTTTCAAAAGAAGACATTAATGCAGCCAACAGACACGTGAAAAAGTGCTCATCACCACTGGTCATCAGAGAATTGCAAAGCAAAAGCACAAGGAGATAGCATCTCACACCAGTTAGAATGGCGATCATTAAAAAGTCAGGAAACGGCAGCTGCTGGCGAGGATGTGGAGAAATAGGAAGGCTTTTACACTGTTGGCGGGAGTGTAAACTAGTTCCACCATTGTGGAAGACAGTGTGGCGATTCCTCAAGGATCCAGAACGAGAAATAACATTGGACCCAGCAATCCCATCACTGGGTATACACCCAAAGGATTATATATCATGCTACTATAAAGACACACACACACGTATGTTTATTGCGGCACTATTCACAATAGCAAAGACTTGGAACCAACCCCAACGTCCATCAGTGGTAGACTGGATTAAGAAAATGTGGCACATGTACACGATGGAATACTATGCAGCCATAAAAAAAGGATGAGTTTGTGTCCTTTGCAGCAACACGGATGAAGCTGGAATCCATCATTCTGAGCAAACTATGGCAAGGACAGAAAACCAAACACCGCGTGTTCTCACTCATCGGTGGGAACTGAACAATGAGAACACTTGGACACAGGGCGGGGAACATCACACCACGGGGCCAGTCGTGATGTGGGGGGGATGGGGGAGGGACAGCATTAGGAGAAATACCTAATGGAAATGACGAGTTAATGGGTGCAGCAAACCAACACGGCACATGTATACATATGTAACAAACCTGTACGTTGTGCACATGTACCCCACAACTTAAAGTGTAATTGAAAGCAAAAGTCAAAAAACAAGTATGACATATTTTATTTTTGTAAAACTAGGTGGTTAGATGCTTGCAATGAACACATTACTTTGATCCTTTTAATGCTTCACCCTGTTTTCACTGTGTCCATCTAGTTATTTGGGTCTATAAATACTGGTGAAACCATTTTATTGGAAAACAGTACTAATGAATGTAAGATGTTATCAAGATATAGTTCTTTTGTTTTGACTGATAAAACACAGATAATGTTAATCTGTTAGCAAAGGCAGATATTTTATCAAAATATTGAAAATATGTGAATTTATAAGCCACCAATAGAATATTAGAAAAATACTATTAAAAATTTCAGTGTAAATCATCATTTATTGCAAATCATGTGTAACAAATTCTTACCAGTAAAAGCTTTCACTTCATCCTCCAATGCTTTCAGAGCCACTTTATTATCAGCTATAACACAAAGGCATAATTTGAAGCTCATAACATGTTATATCAAAAGAACACTCTCCTCCCTCCTATGATTATAACACCTAGTAGCAGCACTTACGAAGTATACTGGGCATTTTATTAAGCACTTTAGTCATTTGATAAATATTTACTCAGAATATGTTATGAAAATGAAGAAACAATTATAAATATTGAAAATAAACTTATTTAGAAAATGTGAATTTGACGTTATAACCCATAAAACAGCAAATCTTATATTTGATAATGGAAAGATGGAATTCAAAAGTGGCTTTTTCCTAGGGGTCAGCTTTCTTGTCCTCAGAATTTGGAAGGCTCTTGTATTGACCATGCCGCTAGTATTCAGAATACTACATTCCCTACTTTGTTACTCTGACTGTCTTATTTAATCTTGCCATTTGCATTATGAAAAGTTCTTTTTTCCCTTTCCTTCTAATGCTAAAAGCACACAGAACACAAAACCCAAAAACCAGTGATATCTAGCATGCTCACCACCGACTGGCAGGCTTTGTGTCAGATCTTCAAGTTCTTTATCTGTGAGCTTGATTCCCATGTTGTCTAGAACGGTCTTCAGGTTTTTTATATCAACCTTCCCTAATCAGAAAGACACAGGCTGTGAGGAAAATGTAGAGACTCTAAAACAAAATCTCTAATTTTTTTTTTTCAGACGCATACACATTGGGAAGTTGAGAAAAGCTATGGATCTTTTATTTCCACAGAGTACGCATAACGCATTTTCATAAACTGTGCATTAGGATTTAGGAGGATGTGCTAAAGCCCATTCATGATTATATTTTTCTACATAAAGAGAAAAAATTCGTTGAATCAATATATAAATGAAATTGACCATGGAATTAAAATTAGGATCCTTTCCTTTAAACCAATTAACTGATCAGTGGATGCAAACTTGGGTCAATCATTGACATATTTTGACCAATACATAGGATTAAAAAGTAACCTCTCAATATTATTCCTAATAATGATAACGATAGCTAACGTTTATGGAGAGCTTTTATTTTGGTACCAGGCATCATACAAAACATTTCATTTATATGTTGTCATTTAATCTCAGACAGATATCAGACAACAGTTGACTAAATTCCTTATATAGATAGCTCATCTTTTCCTTGACTTTTTTGGCATGTAATTACATCTTCCCCACTAAGTTTATAAACTCTAAGAGAGTATGGGATACATTTCTCAACAATATGGTTGATTATCTGGTTAAATAACGATAAATCTGTTTTTCAAAAATCTAATGGAATCTATGTATTAGAGAGGTTGCAGGATTCACAATGAAATTAGTAGTGAATAATGGGAAGGCCAAATGAGTGCCTTATATTCATCTATCTCCTTATTACTTTCCCTCACATTTAAGGTATTTCATACTACTCAGCACTATGTTTTTTCCCCAACATTTTACAATAAAATGTGCCAAACATGCAGAAACATTGAAAGAATAGCACAACGAACCATCACCACTTACATGAAATAAGAGTTAACATTTCGCCATAGTTTACTTTTTCTCTCTCATACTGTCTTTCCATATGTATGTGTGAGTGTATACATAAATATGTTTTCCTTTCCTCAACGTATTTTGACTGTAAATGGTGGACATCGTAACTTATTATCCCTAAACACTGCAGCATGCAATGAATCTTCTAAGAATAAGGATATTCTCTTATGCGACATTGTTGATAAATACACAGCACGCTCACACCTAAGAGAATTAACGAAAATCCCTTAGTGTCATGTTACATCCAGTTCATATTTAAAAATATTTTTGTTAATTGTCCCCCAAACATCTATTACAGCTGTTTCTGTCAAAAGTTCACATTGCATTTAGTTATTCTCTTTGTCTCTTCAAATCTAAAAGTTAGCTGGGCGCAGTGGCTCACTGCTGTAATCCCATCAATTTGGTAGGCCGATGTGGGCAGATCACTTGCGGTCAGGAGTTCGAGACCAGCCTGGCCAACATAGTGAAACCCCGTCTCTAGTAAAAATACAAAAATTAGCTAGTCATGGTGGTGCACACCTGTAATCTCAGCTACTTGGGAGGCTGAGGCAGAAGAAGCACCTGAACCCGGGAGCGGAGGTAGCAGTGAGCCGAGATTGCACCACCGCACTCCAGCCAGGGCAACAGAGCGAGACTCTGTCAAGAGAGAAAAGAAAAAAAAAGTCTCCTCACTTGTTTTTTTGTTTGTTTGTTTGTTTGTTTTTCTTTAACATTGAACATCAACTTTTTTAAAAGAGTAGGCCAGTTTTCCTGTAGAATCCCTCATTCTGAATTTGTATGATTTTTTTCTTTGTGGTATTATTTAACCTGCTTTTTATTCCTCATATTTCAAATAAACTACAATCATATGGAGTCGCGGAATTTTTTCCAATGATTTATAGTAACTTGCAGGCATTTATTTCTCTCTCTCTCTCTCCCTCCCTCCGTCCTTCTTTTCTTTCTTCTCCAGAGAGGGAGTCTCACTACGTCACCCAGGCTGGAGTCCACTTCTGTGATCTCGGCTCACTGCAACCTCTGCCTCCTGGGTACAAATGATTCTCCTGCCTCAGCCTCCCAGGAAGCTGGGACTACAGGCACCCACCACTGTGCCTGGCTAATTTTTTCTTTTTTTTTTTTTTTTTTTTTTTTTTGTATTTTTAGTAGAGACGGGGTTTCACCGACTTAGCCAGGATGGTCTCCATCTCCTGACCTCCTGATCCGCCCGCCTCAGCCTCCCAAAGTGGTGGGATTACAGGCGTGAGGCACCGCGCCCGGCCTGAAATATTACACTTTCTCAAAAGAAGGACGCCTTGCAAAGGCCAATCCCCTAACTTACTGGCACCCTTCTGAGTTGCATGCGGGTCACGTACCAGGTACCGTCAGTTCGTGTTTATAGAATTTTGTGTCCTGTTGCTTTTTGAAAAGCAAACGTGGATGACAGCGTTTGAGCCCTCCACCCCCATCCCTACTGTGAACACTGGGCTAAGTCACAAAGACACAGAGAAGAAAACTCGCGGTAGGGGGCTATGAATGGAGAGAGCACCAGACGGTTCCCTGCAGACACAGAACCAGCTCCAGCTGGTGCCCCTTGAGAGTCTCTCCGCAGAATCTCGGAGGCTGATCCTCGCCCGCAAGCACAAGCGGGGAGGAGTCCTATGCCCTCGCCTAAGTCCCAAAGGAGGATCTGCCGGCTGTGCTGGAAAACACCACCAGAGGGCCCCCTTACCCTCACAGGGAGGCTCTGACTGGCTGTGAGGAGTCACATGCTCATCCTTGGACCAATGACAGGAGGGTACTGGGAACAGGACGTGAGTGCTGCTGGGATCACGTGACTGATCACAGGCTAAAGATGCCCACTGCCACTCCATGGCCCAAGATACCAACATGTTTATTTTTTACTTTTACTTTTTGTAAAGATGGGGTCTTGCTATGTTGCCCAAAATGGTCTTCAACTCCTGGCCTCCCAAAGTGCAGGGACTACAGGCGTGAGCCAGGGCATCCAGCTTCCTGACATGTTTTTTTTTATTTTTCCAGACAGTCTTGCTCTGTTGCCCAGGGTGGAGAGCAGTGGCGTGATCTCGGCCCACTGCAACCTCCATCTTCTGGGTTCAAGCAATTCTCCTACCTCAGCCTCTTGAATAGCAGGGATGACACGTGCGTATCACCACACCTGGCTAATTTTTGTATTTTTAGAAGAGATGGGGTTTCACCTTTTTGAGCAGGCTGGTCTCAAACTCCTGACCTCAAGTGATCCACTTACCTCGGACTTCCAAAGTCCTCTGATTACAGACAGCAGTCACCACGCCCAGCCTCCAGACATGTTTAAAACAGAAAAAATTCATCTACAATCACCCCTGTTAAATGGTATATTATGTAATATATACCAGTATATGGAGACACAAGGGTAACAAGGATATCCGGGACTTGAACTCATCTCTGCACCAAGCAGACCTCATAGACGTCTACAGAACTCTCCAAACCAAATCAACAGAACTTACATTCTTCTCAGCAGCATTCATCGCACTTATTCCAAAATTGACCACATCGTTGGAAGTCAAGCACTCCTCAGCAAATGTAAAAGAACAGAAATCACAACAAACTGTCCCTCAGACCACAGTGCAATCAAATTAGAACTCTGGATTAAGAAACTCACTCAACACCACACAACTACATGGAAACTGAACAACCTGCTCCTGGATGACTACTGGGTAAATAACGAAATGAAGGCAGAAATAAAGATGTTCTTCGAAACCAATGAGAACAAAGACGCAACGTACCAGAATCTCTGGGACACATTTAAAGCAGTGTGTAGAGGGAAATTTATAGCACTAAATGCCCACCACAGAAAGCAGGAAAGATCTGAACTCGACACCCTACCATCACAATGAAAAGAACTAGAGAAGCAACAGCAAACACATTCAAAAGCTAGCAGAAGGCAAGAAATAACTAAGATCAGAGCAGAACCGAAGGAGACAGAGACACAAAAAACCCTTCAAAAAAATCGATGAATCCAGGAGCTGGTTTTCTGAAGAGATCAACAAAATTGATAGAACGCTAGCAAGACTAATAAAGAAGAAAAGAGAGAAGAACCAACTAGACGCAGTAACACATGATAAAGGGGATATCACCACCCATCCCACAGAAATACAAACTACCATCAGAGAATACTATAAACACCTCTATGCAAATAAACTAGAAAATCTACAAGAAATGGATCAATTCCTGGACACATACACCCTCCCAAGACTAAACCAGGAAGAAGCTGAATCACTGAATAGACCAATAACAGGCTCTGAAATTGAGGCAATCTTTAATAGGCTACCAACCAAAAAGGGTCCAGGACCAGACGGATTCACAGCCAAATTCTACCAGAGGTACAAGGAGGAGCTGGTACCATTTCTTCTGAAACTATTCCAATCAATAGAAAAAGAGGGAATCCTCCCTAACTCATTTTATGAGGCCAGTATCATCCTGATACCAACGCCTGGCAGAGACACAACAAGAAAAGAGAATTTAGAACAATAGCCCTGATGAACATCGATGCAAAAATCCTCCATAAAATGCTGGCAAACCGAATCCAGCAGCACATCAAAAGCTTAACCACCAAGATCAAGTTGGCTTCATCCCTGGGATGCAAGGCTGGTTCAACGTATGCAAATCAGTAGACGTAATCCATCACATAAACAGAACCAAACACAAAAAACACATGATTATCTCAACAGACGGAGAAAAGGCCTTCAACAAAATTCAACAGTCATTCATGCTAAAAACTCTCAGTAAACTAGGTATTGATAGAACGTATCTCAAAATAATACGAGCTATTTATGACAAACCCACAGCCAGTATCATACTGAATGGGCAAAAACTGGAAGCATTCCCTATGAAAACTGGCACAAGACAGGGCTGCCCTCTCTCACCACTCCTATTCAACACAGTGTCTCCTATTGAACATATTGTTGGAAGTTCTGGCCAGGGCAATCAGGCAGGAGAAAGAAATAAAGGGTATCATTAGGAAAAAAGGATGTCAAATTGTCCCTGTTTGCAGATGACATGACTGTATATTTAGAAAGCCCCATCGTCTCGGCCCGAAATCTCCTTAAGCTGACAAGCAACTTCAGCAAAGTCTCAGGATACAAAATCAATGTGCAAAAATCACAAGCATTCTTATACGCCAATAAGAGACAAACAGAGAGCCAAATCATGAGTGAACTCCCATTCACAACTGCTTCAAAGAGAATAAAATACCTAGGCATCCAACTTACCAGGGATGTGAAGGACCTCTTCAAGGAGAACTACAAAGCACTGCTCAGCAAAATAAAAGAGGACACAACCAAATGGAAGAACACTCCATGCTCACGGATAGGAAGAATCAATATCGTGAAAATGGCCATACTGCCCAAGGTAATTTATAGATTCAATGGCATCCCAGCAAGCTGCCGATGACGTTCTTCACGGAATTGGGAAAAGCTACCTTAAAGTTCATATGGAACCAAAAAAGAGCCCGCATTGCCAAGACAATCCTAAGCAAAAAGAACAAAGCGGGAGGCATCATGCTACCTGACTTCAAACTACACCACAAGGCTACAGTAACCAAAACAGCATGGTACTGGTACCAAAACAGAGATATAGACCAATGGAACAGAACAGAGGCCTCAGGAAAAACACCACACATCTACAACCATCTCATCTTTGACAGACCTGACAAAAACAAGAAACGGGGAAAGGATTCCCTATTTAATAAATGGTGCCGGGAAAACTGGCTAGCCATATGTAGAAAGCTGAAACGGGATCCCTTCCTTATGCCTTATACAAAAATTAATTCAAGGTGGATTAAAGACTTAAATGTTAGAGCTAAAAGCATAAAAACCCTAGAAGAAAACCTAGCCAATACCAGTCAGGACATAGGCATGGGCAAGGACTTCATGACTAAAACACCAAAAGCAATGGCAACAAAAGCCAAAATAGACAAACGGGGTCTAATTACACTAAAGAGTTTCTGCACAGCAAAGGAAACTACCATCAGAGTGAACAGGCAACCTACAGAATGGGAGACAATTTTTGCAATCTACCCATCTGACAGAGGGCTAATATCCAGAATCTACAAAGAACTTAAACAAATTTACAAGAAAAAATCAAACAACCCCATCAAAAAGTGGGCAAAGGATATGAACAGATACTTTTCAAAAGAAAAGTTAATTAATGCAGCCAACAGACACGTGAAAAAATGCTCATCACCACTGGTCATCAGAGAAATGCAAAGCAAAAGCACAATGAGATAGCATCTCACACCAGTTAGAATGGCGATCATTAAAAAGTCAGGAAACGGCGGGTGCTGGCGAGGAATGTGGAGAAATAGGAAGGCTTTTACACTGTTGGCGGGAGTGTAAACTAGTTCCACCATTGTGGAAGGCAGTGTGGCGATTCCTCAAGGATCCAGAACGAGAAATACCATTTGACCCAGCAATCCTATTACTGGGTATATACCCAAAGGATTATATATCATGCTACTATAAAGACACACGCACACGTATGTTTATGGCGGCACTATTCACAATAGCAAAGACTTGGAACCAACCCCAATGTCCATCAGTGATAGACTGGATTAAGAAAATGTGGCACATGTACACCATGGAATACTATGCAGCCATAAAAAAAGGATGAGTTGGTGTCCTTTGTAGCAACACGGATGAAGCTGGAATCCATCATTCTGAGCAAACTATGGCAAGGACAGAAAACCAAACACCGCGTGTTCTCACTCATCGGTGGGAACTGAACAATGAGAACACTTGGACACAGGGCGGGGAACATCACACCCCGGGGCCCATCACACCCCGGGGCCAGTCGTGATGTGGGGGAATGGGGGAGGGATAGCATTAGGAGAAATACCTAATGGAAATGACGAGTTAATGGGTGCAGCAAACCAACACGGCACATGTATACATATGTAACAAACCTGCACGTTGTGCACATGTACCCTAGAACTTAAAGTATAATTAAAACAAAAGTCAAAAAACAAGTATGACATATTTCATTTTTGTAAAACTAGGTGGTTAGACGCTTGCAATGAACTCATTACTTTGATCCTTTTAATGCTTCACCCTGTTTTCACTGTGTCCATCTAGTTATTTGGGTCTATAGATACTGGTGAAACCATTTTATTGGAAAACAGTACTAATGAATGTAAGATGTTATCAAGAAATAGTTCTTTCGTTTTGACTGATAAAACGCAGATAATGTTAATCTGTTAGTAAAGGCAGATATTTTATCAAAATATTGAAAATATGTGAATTGATAAGCCACAAATAGAATATTAGAAAAATACTATTAAAAATTTTAGTGTAAATCATCATTTATTGCAAATCATGTGTAACAAATTCTTACCAGTAAAAGCTTTCACTTCATCCTCCAATGCTTTCAGAGCCACTTTATTATCAGCTATAACACAAAGGCATAATTTGAAGCTCATAACATGTTATATCACAAGAACACTCTCCTCCCTCCTATGATTATAACACCTAGTAGCAGCACTTAGGAAGTATACTGGGCATTTTGTTAAGCACTTTAGTCATTTGATAAATATTTACTCAGAATATGTTACGAAGATGAAGAAACAATTATAAATATTGAAAATAAACTTATTTAGAAAATGTAAATTTGACTTTATAACCCATAAAACAGCAAATCTTATATTTGATAATGGAAAGATGGAATTCAAAAGTGGCTTTTTCCTAGGGGTCAGCTTTCTTGTCCTCAGAATTTGGAAGGCTCTTGTATTGACCATGCCGCTAGTATTCAGAATACTACCTTCCCTACTTTGTTACACTGACTGTCTTATTTAATCTTGCCATTTGCATTATGAAAAGTTCTTTTTTCCCTTTCCTTCTAATGCTAAAAGCACACAGAACACAAAACCCAAAACCAGTGATATCTAGCATGCTCACCACCGACTGGCAGGCTTTGTGTCAGATCTTCAAGTTCTTTATCTGTGAGCTTGATTCCCATGTTGTCTAGAACGGTCTTCAGGTTTTTTATATCAACCTTCCCTAATCAGAAAGACACAGGCTGTGAGGAAAATGTAGAGACTCTAAAACAAAATCTCTATTGTTTTTTTTTTTTTCAGACGCATACACATTGGGAAGTTGAGAAAAGCTATGGATCTTTTATTTCCACAAAGTACACGCACGCATTTTCATAAACTGTGCATTAGGATTTAGGAGGATGTGCTAAAGCCCATTCATGATTATATTTTTCTACATAAAGAGAAAAAATTCGTTGAATCAATATATAAATGAAATTGACCATGGAATTAAAATTAGGATCCTTTCCTTTAAACCAATTAACTGATCAGTGGATGCAAACTTGGGTCAATCATTGACATATTTTGACCAATACATAGGATTAAAAAGTAATCTCTCAATATTATTCCTAATAACGATAATGATAGCTAACGTTTATTGAGAGCTTTTATTTTGGTACCAGGCATCATACAAAACATTTCATTTATATGTTGTCATTTAATCTCAGACAGATATCAGACAACAGTTGACTAAATTCCTCATATAGATAGCTCATCTTTTCCTTGACTTTTTTGGCATGTAATTACATCTTCCCACTAAGTTTATAAACTCTAAGAGAGTATGGGATACATTTCTCAACAATATGGTTGATTATCTGGTTAAATAACGATACATCTGTTTTCCAAAATCAGATGGAATCTATGTATTAGAGAGGTTGCAGGATTCACAATGAAATTAGTAGTGAATAATGGGAAGGCCAAATGAGTACCTTATATTCATCTATCTCCTTATTACTTTCCCTCACATTTAAGGTATTTCATACTACTCAGCACTATGTTTTTTTTCTCATGTGAACCACTGTCTTAAATACAGTCTTTATAATTCCCATGCACATTGTACATGTACATGTGGAAGTAGTTTTGCATAAGTTTTAAAATTTAGATATGTTATATATAATGTGTTTCCTTTGCCACTTGCATTTCAAATTCAATTTTCTCTGCTTTTTAAAAAAGCCATTTGCCCATGTTGAAACATGAAGATCTTCTTCATTCATTTAAACTACTGTTTATTATTCTATTATAATGATATTCCAACATGAATTGATCCATTCTCCTGTAGATGAATGTTTAGGTTGTTTCTGATTTTTTGCTACAACAAGAAAAGGATGTTAATGAACAATAAGAAATCATCTGAAGGTAGAAAACTCACTGGCAACAGTAAGTACACAGAAAAAGAGACTATTATAACAGTGTGACTGTGGTGTGTAAACTGCTCTTTTCTTAAGTAGAAAACTAAACAATGACCAATCGAAATGATAACTACAACTTTTCAAGACATAGTACAACAAGATATAAATAGAAACAACAAAAGTTTAAAAGCAGGGAGATGAAGTTAAGGTGTAGAGTCATTATTTGTTTTATTTTTGCTTGTTTGTTTGCTTATGCAAAAGTGTTAAGTAGTTATCAGGTTAAAATAATGGCTTATAAGATAATATTTGCAAGCCTCATGGAAAACCTCAAACAAAAACAATCATACAATGAATACACAAAAATAAAAACAAACTAATCATATGACCACAAAAAATCACCTTCACTAAAAGCAAGATAGGAAGGAAGAAAGAAGAAAGAGAAGACCACAATAGAGCCAGAAAACAATAACAAAATGGCAGGAGTAAGTCTTTACTTATCGGTAATAACATTGAATGTAAATGAACTAAACTCTCCAACCAAAACACCTACTGTTACTGAATGGACACCCCTAGCCCCAGTCAAAAAAAAGACTAATTGATTCTGTTGCTACAAGAAATACAATTCACCCATAAAGACACACACAGACTGAAAATAAGGGATAGAAAAAGATATTCCATGCCAGTAAGAACCAAAAAGAGCAGGAGTGGCTATACTTATACCAGATAAAATAGATTTTAAGACAAAACTATAAGAAGAGACAAAGAAGGTGACTATATGATAATAAAAGGGTCCATTCAGCAGGAGGATATAATAAGTTTAAATATATATGCATGCAACACTGGAGTACCCAGATGTACAAAGCATTATTAGAGCTAAACAGAAGGATGGACTCCAATACAACAGTAACTGGAGACTTCAACACTTTTAGCATTGGACAGATCTTTTAGACAGAAAATCAACAAAGAAACATCGGATTTAGTCTACGTTATAAAACAGATGGATCTAATAGATATTTACAGAACATTTCATCCAATGGCTACAGAATACACATTCTTTCCTCAGCACATGGATCATTCTTAAGGACAGACCACATGTTACGTCACAAAAGAAGTCTTTACAACATTCAAAAAATGGAAATAATAGCGAAGCTCTGACAACAATGGAATAAAATTAGAAATTCATAACAAGAATTTTGGAAAATGGATACTTTGAAATTGAACAATATGCTTCTGAGTGATCATGGGTCAATGAAGAGATTAAGAAGAAAATTAAAAAATTTCCTGGCTGGGCGCAGTGGCTCATGTCTGTAATCCCAGCACTTTGGGAGGCTGAGGCAGGCAGATTACCTGAGGTCAGGAGTTCGAGACCACCCTGACCAACATAGAGAAACTCCATCTCTACTAAAAATGCAAAAATTAACTGGGCATGATGGTGCATGCCTGTAATCCCAGCTACTTGGGAGGCTGAGGCAGGAGAATCCCTTGAGCCAGGAGGCAGAGGTTGTGGTGAGTCGGGATCACACCATTGCATTCCAGCCTGGACTACAAGAGCAAAACTCCATCTCAAAAAAAAAAAAAAAAAATCTTGAAAAAAAATTATAATGGAAACACAACATACCACAACCTATGGATATAGCAAAAGCAGTACTAAGAGTGAAGCTTATCACTATAAGTGCCACACCAAAAAAGAAAAACTTCAAACAACCTAACAATGCATCTTAAAGAGTTAGAAAGCAAGAGCAAATCAAACCCAAAATTAGTAGAAGAAAATAAATAATAAATATTAGAGCAGAAATAAATGAAATTGAAATGAAGAAAATACAAAAGATCAATGAAACAAAAAGTTGTTTTTTTGAAAAGTTAAACATAATCAACAAACCTTTAGCAAGAGTAACTAAGAATAAAAGAGAAAAGGTCCAAATAAATACAATCAGAGATGAAAAAGAAGACATGACAACTGATACCAAAGAGATTCAAAGGATCATTAGTGGCTACTATGAGCAACAATATGGTAATACATTGGAAAATCTAGAAGGAGTAGACAAATTTCTAGACACATACAACCTACCAAGATTGAACCACAAAGAAATCCAAAATCTGAACACTCTAATAACAAGTAATGAGATCAAGCCATAATAAAAATTCTCCCAGCAAGGAACATCCCAGGATGTGATGTCTTCACTGCTAAGTTCTACCAAACATTTAAAGAAGAACTAATACCAACCCTATTCAAACTATTCTGAAAAATAGAGAAGAAAATATATCCAAATTCATTCTACAAGGCCATCCAAATTCATTCTCCCTCCCTTCCTTCTTTCCCTCCTTCCCTCTCTCCTTCCTTTCCTCCTCCAAATTCATTCTACAAGGCCATTATTACCCTGATATCAAATCAGACAAAGACACATAAAAAAAGAAAACTACAGGCCAATATAGTTGATTAATACTGATGCAAAAATCCTCAACAACAACAAATATATATAACAAAATATTAGCAAATGGAATTCAACAATACATTAAAAAGATCATTCACCATGACCATGTGGAATTTATCCCTGGGATGCAAGAATGGTTTAACATATGCAAATCAATTAATGTGATACATCCTAACAGTAGACTAAAGGACAAAAACCATAAGATCATTTCAGCTGATGCTGAAAAAGCATTTGATAAAGTTCAAATCCCTTCATGATGAAAACCCTCAAAAAACTTGAGATAGAAGAAACATACCTTAACATAATAAAAGCCATATATGACAGGCCCACAGCTAGTATAATGCTGAATGAGGAAAAACTGAAAGCCTTTCCTCTAAGATTCAAAGCATGACGACAAACATGCCCACTTTCACCACTGTTATTCAACACAGTACTGAAAGTCCTAGCTAGAGCAATTAGACAAGACAAATAAATAAAGGACATCCAAACTAGAAAGGAGAAAGTCAAATTATCTTGCTTGTGGATAATATGATCTTAGATTTGCAAAAACCTAAAGACTCCACCCAAAACTACTAGAAGTGATAAATTCAGTAAAGCTGCAGGATACAAAATCAACATACAAAAATCTGTAACATTTCTATATGCCAACAATGAACAAGCTGAAAAAGATAGCCAAAAATAATCCCATTTACATCAGCCACACATAAAATTAAACACCTAGGAATTAACCAAAGAAGTGAAAGATCTCTATAATGCAAACTATGAGACAATGATGAAGGGAACTGAACAGGACAACAACAAAAAAATGGAAAATTATTCCATGTTCATGAATTGGAAGAATCAATACAGTTAAAATGTCCATATTCCCCAAAGCCATCTACAGATTCAATTCAACAGAATTCCTATTCAAATACCAATGATATTCTTCACAGAAATAGAAAAAAAGATCCTAAATTTATATGGAACCACAAAAGACCCCAAAATAGCCAAAGCTATCCTAAGCAAAAAGAACAAAACTGGAGGAATCATATTACATGACTTCAAATTATACTACAGAGATACAGTAAGCAAAATGGCATGGCACCAGCATAGAAACAGACACAGAGACACATGGACTGTTTTTTTAAAATTAATGATTCAATCTCTACATGTCATAGGCCTGTTGATATTTCTTCTTGAGTGATTTTAGGTAATTTGTGTTTCTAGGAATTTCCCTATTTCATCTAGGTTATTATACTGTCACCATACAATTGTCATAATACGCTCTCATAAACCTTTTTATTTATGTAAGCTTGGTGGTAATGACCCCACTTTCATTTCTGATTTTAGTTATTTGCATCTTTTCTCTTTTTTTCTTTGTCAGTCTGGTTAAAGGTTTGTCAGTTTTGTTGATCTTTTCAAAGAAT